ACCTCAACGCCATATTTATATTTTCCCCCAGAAATTTAATGGACAAAGGGAAATAACCAGGTTAATTATTTTCAACAAAATAATCTAAGATTGGTTAATTCCTTTTATTATTAATTCTTTCATCGCAGAAACCTACTCAGATGTATTCTCAATGAATTTCCAGTTTCGTGACGATCGGGTGAAAGATAGTCATTTAAATATATACCGGCAGATGCAATGTATATAATTGTTCTATTTTGCCCGGGGGATGGGGAGGTAGTCATGCTCTGAGATATGTTCGCAGTGTTTCTTCCAGACTTTTTTCTCCGGGGGGGGGGGCACTTGAAATCTTCGGGGGGGGGGGGGGGGCGGTAAACTTTCTTCGGGGGGGCGGACACTGTTAAAAGTATATATTTTCTATATAAATTATATAAATTTCATTTCGTTCGGGGGGGGGGGCGGTAAAAAATTTTCGGGGGGGCTTTGCCCCCCGTAGAGATGCTTGGAAGAAACTCTGTATGTTCCAAAGAAGCAGTGATGCAGGGCGCAGGCAGTAATTGCGTGTTGTATAGGGAAATTGGTTACCTTTCTTCCAAAAGTGGAGTACCGTTCTTTTTGCCAAGAGAAACAACTCTATTAATATATTTGGCAAATTCAAACTAACCTGGTTATATCCATTTTTCTATGTAAATAGGGGGTAAGATTAAAATAATTAGTATATCCGTCTTTTCATATTGAGCTTCGGTGTGTGTGGGAGGGTCAATGCTCAAAACCACATTTAACAGCTCTAAGTGGTTGCTATCAGTATCATCTCACCTTTTGTAAATGAATGAGTAATCCGTTATCTCCCCTTTAATAAATGAATCGTCTTTGGATTAAATTTTAAAAGATTAGTATCCAAGGTTGAAATAAATCGCACTGACATAGAAGTGAATTTAGAAAGTTTGAAAGAACTATCACATAAGATTTGACCACATACCTACCCACAGACATGCATTCAAAATGCGAAAAATGAAACATTCTTGACAAATCAGAGCTGATATTGTGAAAAATGATCTAATTCTCAAGGCAGCAATTACACACAGAAATAAGTCTAAGGGTGATAAGTTATAATAACAGTGGGGAAAAAACTTATTCCAAGATGCAGGACTAACATCTAGCAATCCCTTTTGTTTTTAATAAAATAGACTGAATTTACAATCTCAGCGACACAAAATGATACATTTTCACATAACACCAAAATGGGACATTTTTAGTTGCATGGTTTATTGCAGTTGACCCCCATCTTAAAACAATTGGATAATTGGACTGAATTTGTCAGGCCTGTTAAAAGATGTTGAAAATAAATTTAATAGCCCGAGTTGTTCTGTAAATCTTATGGTCGTAGGTAGAAATTCAAGAGAAACAAACTGGTTAATAATCTATTCCAGTTCTATCTTAAGGCAAATGGACAGACGAAGTCAAATTAATTCGTTTTAATGACCCCAGCACACAGGAGAATATGGTCAGCACTATGCCAGCAGGCTTTGTTTCCCTAATGGAAGTCAGGTATTCTTCAGGAGGAATCAAACAGAAGACTTTCTGGTTAGCACCAATAAGCGTATTGAAAACAATATATTGGGATCACCAATGACTGTAACACTTTTTTATTTAGCTGTACAGGGCCAGAAAACTTTTTTTCAGATAAGTGATTAGTTAAGTAAAAACTATGATAAGATACACATTATTTGAGACAGCTTTTATAAATTATATTTATTGAAATAAACATTCTCAAATTGACCACAAACATCTACTCAACTTTTGGTCAATACTTAGGAGCTCAACTAATCATGTGTACCATTTGTTGTAGACATACCATACCACTTCTTACAATGTTACACCAAAGTAATGAAAAACAAATTTAACTTAAGCGTAGTAAATAACTCATGAAATAGTTATTTTAAAAATGTTTACTACAAATTTTTAGTTTAAAGAAAATAAAAGGAACATCCAAGGAAATTGATAACAGTTTAGGATGATTCATGTGTATACTGCTTTATTAGTGATGTCCACCTGGTAAATCTACCAATTTAAACCAGTAACCACATTCACAGCGCTTGGGTTCTCCTTTGTGTACATACATCCAATTAATGGTCAAAGCATCCTCTTCACCTGTGTAACATGAAAAAAAAATTAAGGAAACACTATTAAAACACTAACAAAATCTTATGCTAGATAAGAGATACTAATAGATTCAAGAATTTGCAATTTTCACTGTCTTACAGTTTAATTACACATAACATAAAAAGTAAATCCACATTTGTAAACTTGATTGCAAAAAAAAATGGGTGCTCAGACCCATAAGTAACAACCTCAACAATAACTATTAGAAATATCACAGTGTTTAAAGTAAAAAATATGATTTAAAACAACCACAGAAACTTACATATGCAACCAACCATCCTTTTGTTGTTAATAGATTTAACTATTGTTGGTTCATCAAAAGTACCTTTTGCCCTTTTAACTACTTTCATCTCAAAAGGATCCTGTTTAAAAAAAATTGCAAAATAACAGTATAGCAGCTCAGGTCAGATACAAAGCAGTCACAGTAATAATAATCTGCAAGATAATGTAAACTTTAAAAAATTTGAAAACTATCTGCATTTACTGACCTCTTCACCGGATTCATGTGCCAACAATTCATAACGTTCAGGCCCAACAGAATGTCCTAAACTGTCTGGCAGTTTCACATCATCAGAAGCTTTATAAGGTAAAATAAAATCAAAAGTATTAAAATACTTAACATCAAAATACAACAGCTAATGTGATGATGTTTCTACCCAGCATGGAAGAGTACAAACATACTATTTATATAGATATACAGAGACATCATCTGCGGTTATTGGAGTCCATTTCATAGAGGTCATCTTTCCACAGACTGTGACAATTTTAAATAGTCAAAGGGTAGGTTCTCAGATCATGAACAAAATATGCCAATTTTCTTGAGTCACATCGATGGAAAGATCTGACTCACCATTATCAACATCAATATCTGAAACCTCTTTATCTACATCTAATAACTGTTCATTCCCTTCAATAATTGACTAGAAAAACTAAACAACCCTAGTACAACAAAATTTTAGTTAATACATTATGGAATCTGGCTACTATAAAAGGTTACACGAAAATCATAGGCTTATGTGATTTCAATATCAGATGGAGAGTAGAAGGGTGTGACCAGACATAACATCATCTGAAACCCATGAGAGGACACATTGTGTCATGTCGATTGAGAATTAGTTAAGTTTTATTATTCAGACCCTAAAATATAGATTCTCACTAAATTTAAAATGTACTCAACTTTCAATTTAAACATCACCACTGAATAATAGACATCCATATTTAATCCATCAGGCACTAATTTTGAGACTTTTACTCGTGTGATACTAAATTATTTAAAATTTGTCACTCAGACAGGGCAGGCACACCTTACAATTACAACCATATCATGTCGTATGTTTGAAGCAAGCCACGAATGGGGTTAGACTTTAACTAACTAATGCATGAGAGTTCCTTACTAGTGATCAACCAAATAGCGGTCACTTTGTTTTACGGGGTTTTTTTTTATTTTGTTATTTTTGGTGCCGGTCTTATAATGCTTTTCTGCCATCTAGGCCCATCTTTTTGCTCATAGTAAAAAAAGGTCACTGGAACTAAGACGAAAAATCTCGACTTAAGTTTATATTATTATTATTATTAGGCCTAGCCCTATAATAGAATATAGTAGTCTGGCGCGTTGCTTAGATGGCTGGATTGACCTCTGACCCTGAAACGTCACGCGTCGTTTTTAGACGGTTTTTACGTTTATTTTAGGGGTCCCATCCACGACAAATGAAAAAACTGTTAATCTCGCAAATTCTCATCATTATTTTAATGCAGAATGCTAATAAAATGGATAATTTGCCTTAGAATGCCAGAAAAAATCGAGAGATTTGTTGTTGTAAATAATGAGAGGATTTCTAGTGGAGCGCTCTCCGTAAAAACTGAACCGCCGCTAAAAACGACCGACCTCCGGGAAAAACGGCCCGACCTCCTCTAAATTAATATATAATTGAGATATTTACCTTGTATATTTACATTTTTATTGATTCTGGTTTCCAAAATCTTATCCCAAAATGAGGTACCCACGCTGACATTTCTATCCGCTATTTTTAGTATCATGACGTCATTGCTACGCTAGTTGCCAGACTGAAACAACTAGTTTTTGTTTTTTACGGAATGAACTGTTAAGTCTAGTATTTTAATTATAATTCAATTGTAGCATGTGTGGAAAAAGTAAAATTATGGACATTATTGTTGTATTTGTAATTTTATTAGTATATTGATTTTTTCTTCACTGTGGGCCGACAGTTGCTGCATTCGTGACCGGTGGTTAACCTCGTCAACGCTGCGTGGCCTATTCGTTTATATAATCAGTGATGCTCGTTCAGTGGCCTTTTTCAGAGCTAGGCCTAATTACGGGCGATTTTTAGACTTCATTGATCGGCCGTTAGCCCTTTTCATTGCTGCGTATTTTTAAAAAAAATGCTCGTTCAGCTGCCTTTTTTTTTTTGGCGCTAAATAATCTGTTTACGGGCATTTTAAGCGTTTATTTATTTATTTTTTTAAGCTAGACGTAGATCTAGTTAATTATTTTTTTTATACAGCTGGCTGTCTAGCATGCCTGATATGTGAACTTTAAAAAAAATGACCGAACTTTAAAAAAAAAAAAATGACCAGAAGTAGTGAAGTAGGTCTGTTATTCAATTTGCTTGAAGAAGGGGGGGGGGGAAGAGAGAGAGAAGTGAAGACACCGACCATCTCGTGTACGCGTGTTCATTCTATGACGTGTACTATAGGTCACGGTGACCCCGCGACCGTGGTGGGATTTTTCATCCACAGGATAGTAAACATAAGCAAGCAATCACGCGAGTGACGATGTTTGGAGATGTTATTTTTTTTAAAAAAATCACATACGTCATGTTTTCAAGATGAAAAAAAATGTAATGTAAAAAAAAAGGGGACACTAATACCATGTATGAACCTCAGCTGCCACACTGTTGACTCAATATAATGTGATTGAGTGTAAAATGTATTTGTATTTATAAACTATCTTAGCAATTACTATCATATTATTTTATGCATATTTATTATTTAAAATAAAAATATTTATTATGGTCATTTGATTTATGCAGGTGTTCATTACTTCATAAAATGGTATGAATAACATGTAGAGTAGAATTTAATAAATAATAAAATAACTAGATCTAGTTTTATTATCAACCGGTTGCTTTTTGTTATTTTCCGGTGAGTAAATAACCTAAGCTGACGCAATTACCATGGCGGGAATTAAAATCTCGTGGACACAAGTCCACGACGTAATGTTATGCCGGTCGAGGGGATAAAACGCTGTTTTGTCTTTCATTTTCCAATATCGGAAAAATTTCAAATTCTCTCTTTTCTCGTCAACCGAGTAAGCTAGATATTTAAATGTGGTGTCAAATGTTCTCTTAAGGGGTAAGGAAGTTAATGGTGTATTTGAAATAACAGAATATTTTATTTTAAAAAATCCACAATTCAACCTAAATATAGGCCTAGGCCCTAGGCCTACTAAGTAATAGATTTTCTTAGTAAATTTGAAATGTACTCAATTTTCAACTTAAACATGACAACTAAATAAAAAACGTCCATACTTTATCCACTAGGCACTAATTTTGGGAGTTGTTGCAAGTTTTAGACTAAATTATTGAATTTTAAATTTTTTGGTCACTCACAGCTATGGTATGAGGGATCCATCCATGACAACCTGCTTAAAAGCTGAAGGGTTTAACTTTTTAATTGACCGTGAAATAGATCTAATTTTTTTTTACAAGAGAGTTCCTAAAAGTAGAATTGGCCCGTCTATCGTCGGAATATATTTATAGAGGGAAAAAATTTAAGAGAATGTCATCAGAAAAGAATTTTAAAAAAGACAAGACAGAAGTGATGTTTGAATTCTTTTATTTCTTTAATTTTATAACATTTTTTATTGTACAAAAGAGCAAAATAAAAAACCATGCCAGGTAAACGTATCCATTCAAATAGCGGTCACGTGGTCAAAAAAAATAAAAAAATTTGGTTGTCATTTTTTGGACACATCTTATAAAAAAAAGTGTTGAAGATATTTGATTTATTTTTTCATAGAATGATAAAACTAATAATGCTTTACTTTGGAAATCAATTTTGTGATATGGAGATCTATATTTAAAAAGTTATATTATTTTGAATGACACCGACTTTAAATTTAGCCTACATTCTCCAAAGCAATTTTTGAAAATGCTTTTCTGGCATATTTCGACTTGCCACCTATAGCATGTTTTTATAACGTGAAAACCTGCCATTTTGCTCGTGGTAAACACTTTTAAAAGTAATTCCAAGGAGGTCCCTGGAACTAAGTCGAAAAACTCGCCGGAAGTCATGGTCCGATCCTAACGCCATGTTCTGGTTAGCAACCAAGGACGCTTTCAAGTTAGTGAGCCTCACTACTAAGTAACTAAGGCCCCTGCCCTAATTTAGGCTTTTTGATGAGAATTACAGAATGATTTTTTTTATTAAAAATGTATTAATAATAGCTAGAATACTAGTAAACTAAGCTAAATTAGCATATTTTAACTTTCTGTGCAAAGTCATTATTACTGAAAAAAATTCCAAAGTCAGGTCAGCCTGTGGCACCCTCCACTGAACTTGAAAGAAGGAAAAAAAACTTGACCCGTGACCTTCATTAAAACAGAATTTACTTATGTTTCTTTTTAACTATTAGTAAACATGTGCTTAATATTACCCAATAAGTAATAAAAATTTGACAATTAATTTTAATTACTGTTGTAAAGTGAGATAAACAGCTTAATAAACACGTGTTTTCTTGAGGGGGTGTGACCCGGGTGTGGCACATCGCATGTAACTTTTTATTTCTGTGTCTTATGACTATTTGTTCACAATCAGCATGCTATGCTTTTAAAATTGATAAAGGGTAAGTATACCAAGCTACAAAACCTAAAATCTAACTAATAATTCATGCTTTCAGTTTAAAAAATAATAAAAACGATCATCAATGAAGAAAGCGTAAACATTCTATTTTTAGGTGTGACATAAAAAAACAGTCATAAACCTAGCCAAATGATTGGATTCTTGCGCGGCACACATTTTCCCGCGCCTTGTGTTCACCAAAAAAGATTATAATAAAATGGCATTATTACTTGAACGGACCACATCTCATTCCGACCATAAGTTATTACCAGTTAATTGTAATGTGTGTAAAATTGATACTTTCAAGTTTCATATACACATAGTTTGGTTTATTATACACGGGGTATTTTAGAGTTATTTGATTCGAAAGATGAGAATTATATAGAGCTACTTTCACTAAGGCGCCGCTTGCGAGACAAACAAAGAAATTAGGCCAAAAGTAGATCCGACAATTCTTAATTAATAGACTTAAATAGAAACGGATAGTTCCGATTTCTAAAATTAACGATGGCTTCGTAATCATTAGTTTTATACCTCTACCCATTAGTGAAAGCGAAACTGGTCGCCATTTTTGGTAAGCGCATGAGCCGTGAGATGGCTTCAAAACAACAAACCCGGAAGCTGTGAATCGAACGGCCTACCTAATTATATGAAGTAGGGCCTACTAATAATTCAGTGACTAGGCCTATTCAGACTCAGAGTAAAGCCCTTGTTCAGATAATTCTTTTTTTAAAAAGTACTGTTAATGATTAATTCTCTAGACTACAATCTAGACTAGATCTAGATAAATTCTTATAAAACTGTAGCTTTGCTACGTGACTGCCCTTGCCCACTTTTAATGAATGAAAAATTTCCCATCCGGTTTCTGTACAACACCTGATTGGCTGAAGGGCATTCGCGTATCTACAAGAAATTATATAGTGTTTTCTTAATAAAAGGGGTTAATACACTTACGAACTTTCCCTTTATGTACGTCAACGGGTTTAGCTGGGGGACCATGGCCATATCTAACAGACGCCACAGAAATAGTACGTCTCAGTAGGCAAGAAGTTGTTCTCAACAACGATACAGACATGTTGATTGACCTAAGTGACCGAAAGCTCCGGATTTTTAAACACATCCACAAACTGCTAGACTATGCCAGATCAAGTTAATAAAATTAGCCAAAAAAAGGAAGACAAATTTAAAATTAAAAAGATTACGTTAAATGATAAAACTAGGCTGTTGCTCGTAATTTTTTAACTCCACTAATTTCGAGTAAAATTATATCACAAACAAACAGGATTTTTTTCCCTACACATTGATACCAATTTTGTGTCTCTAGCTTAATTAGGAGCTAAGATATGGCCTTTTAAAAATTTGTGGGCGTGGCTAAAACAGCTTAGACCTTCGTCATTCAAGTCTATGTTACATAAGCAAAAAAGTTGGCACCGATGGTTTTTTCATTGCATCATCACGGATTCGCATTTTTCGAAAAATTAAAAAATTATAATTTTATTGCATCATCCGGGATTCGCATTTTTTTTAAAACTAAAAAATTATAATCAAACTTAAAGCCTACGTTATACTGGACTGGATATGATTGACTGAGTAATTTAATTCCATTCATGATTCATATATTATTATTGACTTATTACTCCGTGTAAAAAAATTAATGTAGGTTTAAAATAAACTAGATCTAGTTATTGTAAATCGATTTATTAATATTTAATACTGTTACTACTATTATATAATAGAAATGCATAAGCACATATTACTTCACAAGTTCTTTAATGTAATTGTAATGAACGATATTACTTGGGTAGATGAAGTAGAGTAGACCTACACACACATCACATGGAAAATGGAAGTAGCAACTGGTTGCCTTTACGATACCTTCTCAACCCCCCCCCCCCCCTTGATATTCATTGTCTATATCAGGAGGCCATAATAAAATTATAGAGTATTAGAACACAAGAAAAAGAAAACAGCTGTCAAAGTGTGTACCAGTGTTTATTACTACTGAACTATGCATACTGACATTTCAATGTTTGCTAAAAGAAATATAAATTATTAAAATACACTAATCAGATACCACATGAATTTTAATTTTGTCTAATAAAATAGAAACATTTAGGAGAATGGCAAAGTAAAAAAAAAGATTTTTTGCAATAATTTAAAAATATGTTTATAAGAGCAAAGAAATAAATTACATAGTGACAACCTAAATTTAGCCCTTGTATAATCTACGATCAACACAGTACTGTAAAACAGTTACATAATCAAGAAATTAGGCTCTTCTCATTACGATCCCTCTTAAGAAGAAAAGTAGTATTAATTATCAAGGAATAAACATTAAAATATTGGTTTAAAGTATAATTACTAGTAGATCTAGATCTAACACATTTATTGAATGTATGCTGGAAAAAAAATAGGTGATGAAAAATTTCTTGGATCACTTTAGTCGCTTTAGTGTTAAAACAATTTTCTAAAGTATCAATTATAATTAATCTTTAGATACAATGAGCACATCTAAGGAAAAGAAGTACATTGACTACTGATTCTAGGGTTATCTAGCTGATTTCAATTACCCTGAAAAATAAGTTAAGTAATTAATTAAAATGTAATTTTTTTTTTACACTATGAACACTAAACTTAATCATAAACATTGTTAGTATTAGTTTTCAAAATAAGTTTACAATTCACAGCAATCATTTTTTCAGTAACAATTTACAAAAACACTAATGTTTAAAAAATAAAGATCATTTTTATACTAAAAATGAAAGAAGTACTCTGAAATTCTGTTTAGCTATTATTCAGAAAGAAAAACAAGATTCCTATAAAGTCAACCACCAGTGATTCTGCCCGATGACTGAAATCCTCAGCATTATCCTCATCATCTGCCCAGTAGCTTATGGTGTAAAGAGCTGACTTTTGTTTTGTTGCTGGCAGTCTTTTAATAGTCCTTCCACTGTATTGCGACACACCCTGATCACCTTGCTCCCACCAGCTGAACACCAATCAGATTTCCCATCAGATACCTCTCCAGCTGTCGCACCAAGAAAGGCTCAGTAGAAGTCAACAACGCTTCCATGACTTTAAGAAACAGAGTACATTTGATCGCCACATTGCGTTCTTGTAAATGAGCTTTATCAAAGGACCAGAAATTAACTTCCCAATCAGCCTGAGTGCTTGCAGCGCTGCATGAGAACCCCAGGTTTCTTGAGATCTGCAAGCTGTTGAATGTAGATTTTAGTTATGTCCCAGCAGCCACATCATTCTCTTTAAGATGAGCCTTGAATAAAGCTGGATCTCCATGAAAACTGTACCTGAAAAGAGAAGGGCAAATGGAATTAGAATTTAGCAGACCATTTCACAAAATATATATCTAGCACAACATATTGCAAACTATATAAAATAAATATAAACATTAGAAATAAATTCAGTCTCCATACTTACTGAATGTACTTCCACCTGAGACATGGGTTGAACATAGAAAGGGCTGTACACAAGTTCCACCAACCTATTCCCAGTCACAAGCCTGTTCTCCTCAGCCGCTTTATCTCAGCCATCAAGTTTCTGATTACATTAGCAATCCTTCTTACACCTTGTTGGTCTTGCCTATAAGCAAATAAGATGTACAAAGAAAACAAATTGACCCAAGTCTAGAATTAAATTAATATTAATAAAATTATCAAGTACTAAAATTGTCCTTAATAGGCCTAATTATGGATATATACATAGGCTTACATTAATTTAAATATATAGGCCTACTTGATGGAGAATTATACCTGCACTAGTCTAAATCTATTCTTAACCATTTAACAATGTCTCACTATTTTTACAAGATCTAGAATCTAGACTAGATCTAGTACTTGTATGACCTAATCAAACATAATGATTAAATGATTGTGTTCATCTACTAAATGTACTGAATTAAAATAAATAGGCTAATTAATGAATTGATATAGGCCTAGTCCTACTTAACACTTAATGCAGAATTAGATGAACACTTATAGGCCTATAATTATATAATTAATTAACTTAGGCCTATCTAGATTCTAGATCTATATCAAAATTAACTAGCACCTTTTATTTCTTACTAGAATCTAGATTAGTGTAGGCCCTATTAGCCTATAGATTAAATTAGATCTAGAATTAAACTAGATCTAGGCCTAAAGCTAGATTATTTTTTACTAGATCTAGATCTAGATATATTCTAAATCTAATCTGATCTAGTAATCTGGATTCGTTTTTCTAAATCCAGAATCTATTAGGCTATCTATCTTATTAATAATATCATCTAGATCTAGATCTATTCTAGGCCTATTTACTACTATACTAGAGTCTAAATTTTCTAGAGTCTAGATCTAGAAATCTAGATTTAAGTCAACTTGTGTAAAAATCTTAAAATTAAATTAATGTAAAGTCTAGATCTAGACCTAATTGTCCTAATCAACCGTAATAATTTAGTAGCCTAAATGTAATGTAGGCTACTTAAACTAAATTATTAATTATTAGTAGGCCTATAGTATTATACTAATAGTAATCACAAGTAATGCGATATTTTAATAATGTAAGAATCACAGGAAATTTGGCGCGAAATTAAGGCTCTATCGCGGTGGGCCTTCCTAGGCTTGCGGACCATTGAAATCGTAATTTTAAAATATAGGTTAATTTTAGAAGACCCAATTATTAGTCTAGTCAACATTTGGGCATGTCAATGTAAATATTAAGTACCTTATTATTTATAGATTCTTACCTTATATTTCAGCACATTGCTCCTCTGTAAGATAATAAACGAGATCCAAAAATTAAAATAGGTTTTGAATCTAAATCCTCTTGAGGTTAAAACAAAGATGCGCACTGTGTCATGCGTAGATCAGGTGTGCTGTGGTTTCGCCTTAAGCGACATGGCCTTAATTACCAATGGGCAACCGGAAACATGGAATTTAGGTTCAAGGTACAGCCATGATTACCATGGCAACAAAGGTCACGGCGCAAGCTGCGCAACTCGCTAATAAAACTGAAGAAAAATGTCTTCACATTATACAATCAGAGTTTCTTCCAGGCATGTCCGCCCCCCCCCCCCAAAAAAAAGTCTACCGCCCCCCCCCGAACGGAATAGAATTTATATAGAAAATATATACTTTTAACAGTGTCCGCCCCCCCCCCCCGGAGAAAAAAGTCTGGAAGAAACACTGTATACAATACAATGGGGAAATTTGAAAACAAAAAACAGGGTAATGACATAAAACTCTTATAGGACACAAAAATTTAAGTACTCAAACTTTAGATTTCTGCAATGAATGTGTTATTATTTAGTATGACTATCTGTTCCCATTTCTGTAATTTTTAAAACTATTAACTAACAAGGTCTAAGATTTTCTAATACATAGTTATATTTATCTGAAGTTCATCCATTAAAATATATTTTAATTTATTACAACTTATTTCAGCTCTCGATTCACCACAATCATTTGTTTAGCCTCTCTTCTTTCGGGAGCACAGAGAAGGTCTTCACTTTTGTTCTCGACTCATGTCTTACAACCATCTGCTTTTGTCTTGGGTGATTCAAGTCGAATTGAATCTAAAGTCATGTTTATAGTTCTTTCATTTTGTTTTTATTTTGCTTTTTTACCCAGAGCCTCCATGATAATTAATTAGTTTTAAAACATATTCTTAGCGGCTTTTAAAAATTGCAATGATCTTGCAAACAGAGTGTGAAAATATGAAAAGAAAGTTGTCTCTTCCCCCCCCCCCCCCCAACCCCCGGTTACTTTTAACTGCTGGGTTGAGTTGTTTTAAGGCGGATAATTGATGACACTGACTTAAATTTATTATGGAAACATGCGGAGCAAATGAATATAATCTTTTGTACTTTTTAAAAGTAAAACGTGCTTTGATTTACAAATACACAAGCTATTCAATAAAATGTTACAATAAGATTTTTTTTCTTAATCAAGCCTTATGCTTCAAAATATTATGCTATAAAAGGCTGCTAAATCTGATCACTCATTCAAGAAAAATTAAAAAGCTGGAGAAATAAATTGGGCATGCCCTAAATCTATAACAATAATTAATTATCTAATAAATAAAAATGCATCATTTTATTAATTTTTAAATCCTTCGTTTAATTTTTTTTAATTTTCAGATATTTTAGTGTGAAAGACTGATCTAGAAATCTACATTTTGGAATAACATAGAATCTAAAAATACTATTTTGAATCCATGTTTTTACTTGCTACTCGTCAACATGGCAGAAGTAGCTGAAAAGCTGCTACTCGAAGTTGCTAACAAAAATTCAATTAACTCTTTAGATTTTTCTAAGCACCTTGGTGTTAATCACCAGGCAGTAGTTGGTGCAGTTAAAAGCTTGCAATCTTTGGGAAATGTTAGTTAATTTTCTTTTCCTCCAAAAGACATTATCGAAATTAACGTAACCGTTCTGTACGAGACGACAATCGTTATCGACAATCGACAGATGACGAAATGAAAATGCCATGATGATAATGATACGATATAAAAATTATATAATACGAACCGACCCGCGGCGTATGATACGCCGCTATTTAGTTGTTTTTTCTACTTTTCAGTAATTCATAATTTGTGAATTCGACAGTATGCTGCCACTGAAAATATATTTGCTTTAAATAGGCTTGTCGGTATCGGCCGAGATCGCGGTAAAAACATGACCCGAAATCGCCCATTACTTTCTGATACCGGGCACACGAGATTTGGTTTTGCATACTAATAAGTTTTTAATTTATGGTAATTAATTAAGTTTAAAAGGTCATTTCCTAATGTTAAATGAAAAGTAGAATGGTTTTCCCATTGTTTTGATGGCTTAGCGATCTGATTGCACGCTGTCTCTGCCTTGGTCTTCCCCCTGTATGAAGGCTAGTTTCAAATACGTTGGAATCACGATTTTTTAAAAGGTTATTCTAGATGAGTGAAGATTACTGAGCAGACATATCTTATATATGTGGAAATGATATTTGTTTTTGGATATTTTGACTCTGACATTAGATATACTCGTTTAGAGGTGGTCACTGTATGTAGGTCGCGTTGCCACCATTGTTATATTTTTTCATCCCGATCTTCCGGCCTTTAAGTTTGATCAACTAACAACAGCATTCTTATGGAATGTGCAAACAAATCTCCTAATTTTTTATTTCAGAATATATTTACATACCCATCTTTAATTTTTTCAGCTCTAGTTCTAGTTTTGCAGAATGTTTTTCCTAAAATCCAATTTTGTCAGACTAGACTGACAAGAGTCAGACCTAGATCTAGGTTACCTGTCTGTTGCTATACACTAGCATTGTGCTAACTGTAATTTTAAGTATTCAAGTTCTACTTACCCTTAGATATAGTTATATGCTGAAAATCAGAATCCATACACTATTCACACATAAAAACATTGATCTGATAACTTCATTTAAATTATTACAAAATGGCTTATATGGGCTCTACTTCACCTGCCCAAAATAACAAGGCAGTTATATACACATTACAGTGTTCAAGTCATTTAGATTTCTAACTATGTAGTTCTTACATTCACTGTATTTATATAAAATATTGCTTTAGAAACATTTTCATATTTGCGCAGCAGTTTTATAACAAAATGGCTTAAAGATGGACTCTACTTCACCTGCCCAAAATAATGAGGCAATTATAATATTATATGCACATAACAGTGTTCAAGTCAATTACTTTAGTTTCAAACTTTGTAGTTCTTTCATTTGCTGTATATATATAAAATATGGCTTTCATATTTGCGCAGCACAGTTTTTTGGGGTTATGGGAGGAAGCCAACACAAAAATATAAGTTCTGTATTATTTTTATTCATTTCAACAACATTTACAAGTTCTATATATCATTCTAGCTAAACTCTGCAAATATGAACAAAATACAACTGCAATTAAAATAACTATGCTCAATTTATTCAGGTATACCATGACTTGTCACAATTGGCCAATGCAAAAGTAAGGGGATTCCACCCCTCACAAAAAAATTCGCAAAAAAAAAACTATTTGAGCTAGACAGAAAATCTTTTTTGTTTTGTTTTCATTTTGTTGAGCTCTACAAGAATATGTAATTTTTATTTTTATATGATGATTAGTGCTTTTTTACCAAAATCCCTACTTTAAAACACTAAAACCCTCCTTTCCCCCAACCTCCCCCCCCCTCCTCGTGAAAGCAGCCTCCTCTTAGTTACCTCCCCTAAGTTTAAAATCGTTTCACACTAAATTATCTGCCCCTAATAGCCGTCACTAAACCCTTCTCTGCGCTTGTAAACATTTAGCGTGAACTACAGCTCACCAGACCATTGGGGGGGGGGGGGGGGTAATAGAGATATGCCTAGAGAGGAAGAGAGGGGACTGCTAGGCGCGCTTACAGCTTGTTTTCTAGCGTCTCCAAGAAGAGAATTATAAATTATAAATATTGATCAAATGGCTAATTTATTTATTTGCTTTTGCAAACACTCATACTTAACTAACTGCTTTTCTCACTAAATAAATATTAAATTCATAATTTTTGTTTTTGCTTAAACTTTTAAAAACAATACCATTGAAATAAATAATAAATTCCTACAACTTAGTAGAGAGACTAGACTACTACATCAGAAGAGACATAAACAAAAATATTGCATGGACACCACAGCAATGTTCAGAAATCTAAATTTTCATTAGTCATTGGGCATAATGAGATGTAGCATTCAATCAGTGGGTAGTTCTTGAAAAAAAAAATAATGAATAATATATTTTCTTTATAAAAATTTATAGTATAGATCGTAAAGATCCATTGCCAGATTGGACTGATGAATTAGTAGAGTTCATGTTTCTTGACCTCGGCAACTATAGATCATAAAGAAGGAAAATTAATTTATGTACCCATGCAATGTTTTAGATAATCAAGGTTGATGATAAGCAAGATAAAAGATGGGAGTTGACAGAGGAAGGACAGTCTGTTTTACAAAAAGGTAGCCATGAAGCTCTGGTTTACAATGCTGTCCCTAAAGATGGAATTCCTCAGTCACAGCTTATGGTAATTTGATTTTTACATCTGTGTTGATCAACCAGCTTCAAATTCTAAGGTGTAGGCCTAATTTTAAAAATTAAGTTGGAAAAGTATTTTTTTCACTATTCAATTACATATGCATGTATTTTGTTTAGGCTCATTTACAAGCTAGAATTAATTTTTATGTGAGGCAAATTTTAAAAAAAAGTATATCTTAAACTTTAACTTCCTGGTTAATATTTTATTTCTGTCTAACCTTATTTGTATTGTTTAGCGGCTATAACTTATCTTTCTTAGTAATGTAAATGCTGCCATAATACCGCTTTCATTTATTAAACTGGTCTCAATTTGCTGCTTGTTCTAGTTCATTATTGTAATGTATTCTAAGAATTTTTTTTTTCTTTGTATTAAAAGGCTTCTGTACCAAATGCAAATGTTGGATTCAGTAAAGCTATGTCAGCAGGCTGGATAAAAGTTGATAAAAGTCATGAAGGAGGACCCAGAGTTTTCAGACAAGTATGTTTATTTTTTCAAGATCAGTTCCTTATTTGTAGAAATCTAATTCAACTGTTTTCTGAATTTTTTATTACCATTTTGTTTGCTAATTTGCTTCATTAGGTTGAGACAATTAAAGATGTTGTTAGAGAATGCCTAGAAAAAATTGCTAAATTAGACATAAATGATGTGACAGAAGCTCAGAAAAAGGAATACAAGAAAAGAAAATTGATCACAGAAGTGTGAGTACTTTATAGTTTGACTAAACTCTTTTCAGCCAATGCATTTTATTGTGTGATATTTTAAATATTTTAGTGGTTTAATAAGACTTTGGCATTACATCTTTTTTTTTAAAATAAAATTATACAGTTTTTTAAAAGTGTACATTATTTGATTGTATTGACTGTATTGTTCTTGTAAATTTGGTTCATAAAAATGTTAATTTAGAATGTTCAATAAAGAATTTTGAAAGCATTTCAAATGAGCTGTCCTAATTTTTCTCACAATTCTAAATATGAAATTTTAATTTAACAAATATTAGCATATTGTTATAACTAACTTTTTTAACAATTGGGAAGTCAGTGTCATATCATTAAATTTCCAAATTAACATGAGAAGTGAGAAGCCAAATTAACATGAGAAGCTTTTCTGTACAGGAAAGAAGTCAGCTACATTATAACAAAAGGGGAAAATTTCACAACCACAGTTAGCAAACCTGAAGTTGATCTAACACCTGAAATGATCTCAAGTGGGAATTGGAAAACCACGCAGTTTAAACCATACAACTTTAATGCTCTAGGCGCACCCGCTGTCACTGGACACCTGCATCCCTTGTTGAAAGTTAGAGAGCAGTATCGTCAAATATTTTTGGAGATGGGGTATGAGATTTGCATTACCTTTATATTAGTATACTCAGCTTATTACTATTATTATTATGTTTTTAACATAAAATAATAAACCAGAAATGCAGTGTTTATGTATTTTATTTATAATTAAACACATTTTTAACTGCTCAGATTTTCAGAAATGCCAACCAATAATTACATTGAATCAAGCTTTTGGAATTTCGATGCTCTTTTCCAACCTCAGCAGCACCCAGCAAGAGATGCACACGATACTTTCTTTATTTCTGGTAAGCTGCAAGTCAGTTAATAAGAACTTTTGCATTCTTTACAGTTTGAACAATATTTATCAATATTGTTTTTCTTTTCTTTATTCAAATCAGACCCAGCTACTGCAAGTGCTTTTCCTATGGATTATTTAGAGAAAGTGAAAGATGTCCACTCAAAGGGTGGGTATGGCTCTCAAGGCTATAAATATGACTGGAAATTGGAAGAAGCAGAAAAAAACATTTTGAGAACTCATACAACAGCTGTCAGTGCTAGAATGTTGTATAAACTTGCACAAGAAGTATGTTATCCTGCTTTTTTTTATCAATTGTAATACTGCCCATTTTTTCCCCAGTTAAATCATTAGCGTAGTTTTTGATTACTTCTGGGTAGAACTCAGCTAGTTCATATGATATAAATAACAGCACTGTTTATCTCTCATTCATTTTGAAATTTATTCTGCAGAAAGAGTTCAAACCAGTCAAGTACTTCTCTATAGACAGAGTCTTTCGTAATGAAAACCTTGATGCAACACATTTAGCTGAGTTCCAGCAAATAGAAGGAGTTGTAGCTGACCGAGGCCTTACACTTGGAGACCTCATGGGAACAATCAACCAATTTTTCAATAAACTTGGTAAGTGGAAGGTTATAGTCTTTTTTAATACAAGGTTAGGTTAGGTTTGCCTGTCGCCCCTTATTGGACATAGGCTGATGACAAGCTTTCCAGGCGTCTCTGTCCTGTTATAATACAAGACAACTGTCAAATATCTCAACTTTTAATGTTTTACCTTCAGGCATCACTAAGCTTCGTTTTAAGCCAGCTTACAACCCTTATACTGAGCCAAGCATGGAGATATTCAGCTACCATGAAGGTAATTTTAACATTTTTAGTTTGAACTATTAAAAGTTAAAATGAATCCATCAAGGTAAATGGTATATTTAGAAAATGTTAGTAGTTATAAAATTATGTAATAAATTTCTTAAGTGTATGGGGAATGTTTGCAAAAGCTAGTATGGTTGTTCTGCCTGTCTATAATCTAGATGTTTCTTTATAAAGGTCTCAAGAAGTGGGTGGAGATTGGCAACTCAGGTGTTTTTAGACCAGAGATGCTTTTACCCATGGGTCTTCCCAGTGATGTTTCTGTCATTGCTTGGGGCTTATCATTAGAGAGGTAAGAATCATTCTTTTTGTCAATAATTTAATCTTGTTTATTACTGTTGTTAAAAAAAATACTTAACTACACAAGGTGAAATACAAGATAGTGGTAGCAGTATGAAAGTCCCTACAAAAAAATTAAAAACCAAAGCTTTTAAAAAACAAACTTTAGAAAATTTTCTGAAGATTTGCTTTAAAAGAAATCAGTAAGTTATTGAATTTCAAAATAGCTTATTTCCTAATATTTTACTGTTATGTTAGATTTCTAATTAAAAGAAAAAGCATTTAATGTAGCCATAATTTAACTCTATTTGCAGACCAACAATGATCAAGTATGGTTATGACAATATTAGAGATCTTGTAGGACCTAAAGTTAATTTGAAGATGGTTTATGAAAATCCACTGTGTCGACTAGAGAAATAAAGCCGCTCAGAAACAAGTCTGTGATTATTATCTTTTAGTGTAAATCTTTTCAAAAAATGTATCAAATCAAAGTTTTCTTCTAAGCAGGTGAATTGGTAGTTACAGAATGGCAGTAGAAATTTATGTCCACCGATTTATGAATCAGATGCTTTTTTGTTTTTTGGTAATAATTTATTTTCACCTTGATGATTGTCATGTTCATAAAATGCTATGTTCATTGAGACAATAAATTATAATACACTTACAGTGCTTGAGTCAAACTTGTGTTTTAAGTTTTACATGTTATTTAGAATCAACAACAAAAAACAATTTTAAATTGATGTTATGTACATTAATTTTTATCAAATATTTTTATACATAGCAATAACAGCAGACAAATCATACAAACTTTCAGATATCCATCTTTCAATTTCTATTCCCATAAACTATCAGACTTTCTTCCCCATCCAAAACTTTGCTTTGGGTTTTTCCAATAAGGTACCCCCTGCTCGCTTCAACTTCCGTCTCTCTGACTGGTGCATATTCTTTTGTTCCAGGTTCTTGTTTGCTTTTTTCTCCTGCACATATTCAAAGATGAACATTACTAACCATTTACATGATATTATTAATACAATTTCCACAGACGTTTAAAATTACTTTTTATGAATAGTTAATCCACCACCACCCCCCACCAATACATAATTTGCAATGAGTATTATAATTAAAATTAAAATATTAGGATTAAAAAAAAAATTATTGTCAGAATAAATATTCTATAGATTATCATATCAACAAAAAAAAAGCAGCTAAACTTGGTAAAATAAATATTCACCTTTTTGAGTGAGAATGTCATTTCTCTGTTTCCTAACGAGCCACCAACATATGTAACAGAATCTTTATCAGAAGACTGCAATCTTTCTTCCAAAGTTTTTCTGTAAACATTAAAAAAACATAAACAGCAAAGTTCTAAAAACTGGTCCCTTTTTTTTTTTTTTTAACTACAAGAAGAATCTGACATACTTAGCCTCCTTTTTCTTGTTAATGTCACTTTTAACACCAATCTCTTCCCCATCCTTGATTTCAAACAATCTGGCTTTCTTTCTTTCCTCTTTGATGTTAGCTTTTTCCTGAGCTCTCCTCTCTCTAGTAACTTTCTGATGCTCTTTTCTAACATCCTCTGCCCAAGTGTGTTCATCTTCAGAACTGCTGCTTCCCTCTTCATCACTTGGTCTTCCCTCTGGTTCATCCTCGCCCTTCAGTAATTAGAGCTCACATATTTATACACAAAATATGTTTCAGATTAAAAACATAATACAAAAAGAGAGAAAAAAAATTCTTACCTCAACTTCCTTGAACTGTTTCGAAAGAGCATATTTCTCTTCTCTTTTCTTTCTAGCTTTGTCTAGTTTTGACATGACAGGATTTATGAGTCTAAACTCTTCAGACTCTGGGTCAATCTGGAAATCTGGATTGTTGAACATTGCAGAGAAACGATCATCCTTTAATATGCTTGTCACTGCTTTGTTCTAGAAGAAAATAAAAAATTGTAACCGTTAGCAATCTAAAATGAAATTTCTAAAAAAAATAAACAAAAATAATCTGGCCTAATTGTAAACTTTAAATTTAAAAAAAAAAGAAACATCATAAACAATAATCTAATGAATGGGGGTTTTGAAAATAAAAACTGTAATAGTAAATTCTACTTAATTAAGATAAAAAAGTTCACTTTAGTAAAATAAGAGAAACAAAAAACATCTTTTTACCACACGTTTCTTGGGATTGGATTTTTGTGCTTCATCTTCTTCCATCAATTTTTGAGCCAGGTCTCTATTAACACTTGGTAATTTCTTAAAAAAAGGAGGAAATAATACAACATTAATAAATTATAGATTAACATTTATCACAAGCTAAAATGCCCAATGGTCAAACATTTTTAAGTCACATTTTAGGGCGAAATTAGAAAAAGGGGCATAACTGAAAGTTTTATTTAAATTATTTAAACCAAAAAATAAGCGCAAAATTTCTAAATTTGTTAGTAAATGTTATAAACAACATATTTAAAAAAAAAACTTGCCTTTCTTTATTTAATGCAATTAATAAACTCTTTTGTAACTAACCTTTAATTGGACCCTGTTTGTTCTGTCTTGTTCTATCTTCTCCCTGACTTTGGTCTTTCTATATTTCTCATAAGCAAATGGATCAGCTACAGCCTTAGCCTGAAATGTTTAAAAAAGTTAATCATCCACATCTTATCAGCAAACACATCTGTTTTAAAAAATGTCTACATCTCTCAACTGAAAACTAATATTGTTAAACCTAAGAAGCTTACCTTATGGTAAAGTCTCATGTCCATGAAAAAACCATGCATGACTGATCTGAGCAGGTTGGTGCCTATGAGATGAACCAGTCCTAATTCTTCAAGCTCAGTGCGCGTGACAAACTTGTAATCATCATAAACTAGAATAGAGATTTAGAGGAAAATAAAGGAACTCATCAGGAACTAGAAAAGAGATTTAGAAAAAAAAAATACAATAATGGAAAAAGTGAGTTATTAATACAACTGTTACAAATCTGATGGCTGCAAATTATGGTAGAGCTAGTAATCAAATCATTTTTATGTCTGGAGAACTTAACCAGTATTTAGCAAGTAGTTATTACAATTAGATAACACTTGACATGCAGCATTTTTGTGTATATGTCTAATTGATCAGTGTAAGGCAGATCACAACATTACTGTAAAGAATAGTTGCAGCTGGTGATTTTACCCAATTCCCTGTTTTGATAACCACAAAACAACAGTAGAAAATGATTTACCTGTACTTTCTGACTTCTCTTCTAGTTCTTCTGTCATGCTGTCTAAGCTACTACACCACCTTGGTGCTGGACCCAAAGTCTAAATAAATTATAGAAAATTTACATTAGGAATACAACCAGCTAAATTATAAACATAACAAATGTCAAAAAGTACCAAAAACACAAATTACAAACAGCTAAATAAATTGTCATTAATGAAAAATAACATTTACTAACATTGCATTTCAAATATAAAAATGTGCACTACAAAGAGCTAAATAAAATTGAAATCTAATAATGAACCTCATAACATGAGTTGTAAATGTCAAACTGTACTACAAACAGTAATCATCAACTTACAGGTATGAAGTAGGTCAGTACTTTCGGAGCTTCATTTGCTAAAAAGATGAGTCCAGTATTAGGGACAACACAAAGCTGGTTAAGATTTACACCTGGTTCAATGGCTGTCATTGGTTTACCCTGTAATATTTAAGGTGATTTTTAAAAAAATTCAATCGATGACTAAGACTACACTAAATTCACATTATTTCAATCCTGTTTCTAACAACAAAAAGGTCAGCATTGAATAACTTTCAAAAACAACTTTATTTTTAAATGCCTTTGAGAGAAAAAACAACTTAGAAATTTAATATATTATATATAGGACCAGCTATTCAGTCAACTATTGGCAGTAGTTGATTGAATAACTAAAATGTGCTGTTCTTACATTTAGTAGTTTTTTAAAATATCCATGTGAAAAGTTTTGTCAGATTAAAAACTTCAGGCAATTAAGTTTATTTTCTATTTATAACTAAGAAGATATCTTACAGTATTTCTGTTCCACATTTTGAGTATTTTGGAGTCCATGGATAAGACTAGATCTTGAGAATCTTGAAATTCTATTGATTTTATTGGTAGTTCGTAATTGTGATCTTTGACATTGAATGGTTTCATGGCTCTCAAGTCATACAGAAGAATCTGTAACAAAATGTAAATAAATTTACTTAATATGAAAAAATTTAAGAACAGCATTCTAAACCGTTTTTAATGTATTTTTTCCTAGTTGGCTTAGCAAAATGTGCCTTAGAACTATATTTTCTTTCTTCTTCTTAATTTTAGTGTTGGAAGAAATTCCCCCAAACACAATTAAGTATTATGTGTCAACTGGTTATAGACCATATAGGCTGTTGACTCCAATTTCAGCCTGCTTTTCTTTTTGAATTTGCTTCCATAGCCTTTGTCCAATCAAGAATAAAATAAAAGGCAGCAGTTGTTTGATTTTGAAGTTGTCCCTCCTGGAAGAGTTGCAGTCACCAGCTATCAAGCATCATCTACCATAGAGGTTCAAACTCGAGACTTTTTAGCAACCATAAACTTTACCGAATTGCAAAAAAATATTGAGATATAAAAACTTAAATTTTTAGGGTTCATCAGTTCTAAATATTTTTAACATTGAATATTTACATGTCCAGTGCTGGTCCCCAATCCAACAGTTAGTCCATCTTTCCTGAATTTCATAGCCGTTATCTCTGGTACAATTTTGATGCTTCAAAAAAGGCAACATTTATTTAGTCATTCAAAAATGTTACTATCCCATAATTAATTAATGGATTTATTTATTAATCATTAAGTATACAACAAAAGCTGGTAATAGAATCGGGTAATATGGTCTCAAAAGCAGTGATCAAATATTTTTTACAAACAGCAAAAGAGGAAAAAATCTTACTCATAATCTTGTACAAAATTACTGACAGCTATGTCAAGTACGCCAGCCCTCGTTCTAGAACGAGGATCCCAACACTCTAGATGTCCTAATTTTGAACCACACCCAAACAGGTAATTCACAGGATTAAACTCACAACAATTAAGCTCTCTGTAGATAAAATAAATGTCAGCTTTATTAAAAATAAAAACTCTATAAATAATTTGTTTCTATTAAAAGATATAATAATTGCAATAACAGACAGTTAATTATAGGAATTTTAAATTAGCCTAAAGACTTAAAATTAATACAAGTAAAAACTTACGTAGCAGATGACTGCAAGGGCTTCATAAACCGCCCCTTTTCTAAATTTATTCTGTATATTTCTGAGCTATAGTAAGGAAATAGAATATTTAGAACAGAAATATACAATTAAGAAAAAGTAATGATTTAAAAAAAAAAAAAACAAGACTACATTGTTTAGTAAACAGACATACTACAAAAATAATTTAAAGTTAAACATCATATATTAGAGAATAAATTTCATAGAGAAATAATTTTAGAAGTCAGTCATCACACATTAGAGAAAAGTCAGCTTTGAAACTTGAACAAAAATATTTACATTAACCACGCAAGCAATAAGAGTAATGAAAAAATAAAGGATAAAGTATAAATAATTACCTGACACCAACAAAATACATATCACATGATGGTGGATAGTATGATAAATCTCTTCCGTACTTGGGTATTCGCATGCGTAGTAGTCTTCCAAATTGAGAGTGAAATTCCACAAACCTGTCATCTTCTAAAAAACATACCTGGAATTGAAAAAAATGAAATGGAATTGTTATAAGTAACAGCAATCACATACAATAGACTTGATTTAATCTTGAAGAAAATATATTTCACCTAGAAAACGTATAAAATATCTTGAAAGTCTAATACTTACTTTACTGTAGTCTTCAGACAAAAACTGAAAGTTGACGACATCTGAGTCAAGACCATGTTCAAACTTAAGGCACAACTCATGAACATCATAACAACGAAATCTGGGTTTGTACGAACCTGATGGAAATATATTTTGTTATCAGCATACTTTTTGTAGCATAATATTAAAATACATTTACTTTTTTAAAAATTAAGACCATAAGTAATTTGAAATATGATTCAAACATCATTATAAAAAAGCAGGTAAAACATAGTTATCTAACCTGTGGCACAAATGAACTGTTCATCTGGAGAGACCTTAACACAATTGCTAACACTTGGCATTTCAAAATCCTGGATAAGCTCCAAACGCTTTCGAACATCTAAGATAGATTGAATTAGTAATTAAAGATGATAAAACATAAACTCAGCAATAAGTTATTAAAAATGCGTAGCCTAATATAGGAACATGACCTACCATCATCTCTGTTTTGGAGCTTTCTTTTCTGACGATCTGTTAGCCACTAAAAAAAAATTAAGTTTGTTCAAGAATATTACACAATCATACATTTCAAAATTAACCTAACCCAGCCTACCAAATCAGGTGGGGATACAATCAGCGAGGCAAAAGGTCAAGTTAGTAATCAGCTGCTACCTTCTTGCATTTTACCACCTTGCATGCCATTAATCTTATTCCCGCCCTTAATAAATGTCTAATTAATACTAATAATAGTCCAAGCCAATGCACTATGAATGTAGCCAAATTTTGTAGTAAAGCTGAATTGAATTACAGTAGGGAGAGAATAGGTAGTATTGAGCCAATAGATAAGGTGTCTGAAAAAAAAATGGAATAGTTTGTAAACCTGAATTCGTTACATGAGATTACAATTTGGATAACTTTAGATACCGATGTCTGATAATAGACTCTTCCATAAAATAGGTGTGTTCGGTTGTTAGTTAGTAGTATTAATCTCTGCTAATTTTATGGTTAGAAATAATTAGGGTTAGGGACAGAGTTAGCAATGACATTAGCCAGACATGTTTTTATTTAAGTTAACTACCACTGCTGCTACCACTGAGTACCAGTAACCTAACACCCCTTTTTAAAGAAGATTCCATTATCGGACACCGGTATAAAAATTCCCCCCAAATTTTAAATAAATAGCCTAAATAATTAGGGGCCTACTAGTTTAATTAATAATTAGTATTAATTAGGCCTATTTACTAGGCCTAGGACCTATTTAAATCTATTTAATTAGGCTATTTATTAGCTAATTAATAATTAATAGGGCCTAAATATTAAATAATTAGTAATTTACTAATTAGAACTAGGGCCTAATCTACTAATTAATTAATTATATTAGGCCTAGGCTACTAAAAGTGAATTCATCATTACAAATCTGAGTACGCCTCAATAGTACTACATTATTATAAATGTTTTATTAATTATGATGACGAACTATGATGATTGATGAACTAGACTTCACGGTCTTCACATGCCAGCTCGCTGAGCTCGGCAGCTGCAACAGTCACAGACTTTCATAGAGGACTAAAAAATTATAAAATAATTAGGAGCCTAACACAACGAATTGAACATTTAGAAGTTTCGACTGCAACAAAAATACTTACTTCAGGTAGTGATTTTCCTGCACTTAAATTGTAAATTTTAACATTATTTGCATTACAGACTTGCATTTTTATTTGTTCTACTAAGCATGCTTTATTTTTGTTATAATTATAAAATATTTATAAGAGTAGCCTACCCTGCTGTTTATCTTCCTCTACTTACCGAAAAATGTCTGCGCGTGTTAAAAATATCTCTTCCTCTAAACTCGATTCGTTTACGAGAAAGTAACAAAAGAAAGAATTCTCTTCAATATTTCTTGCCAACCGACTCGACTACATCGACCCCTATTTAACTTACGAAATGGCAGAATTTGTGCAAAATAAATCATTAAAATTAAAGCCAATATTATTTCTTTATATCACAAGTATCTGTTTTAAAATTGTAAGTTCCAAATGATACGTTTAAGATTACAATTTTACATAGGCCTAGATGCCATACAATGAATACATTTTAATAGATCTGGTATGAATTACAAGTTGTAGAATACGATAGTAAACGCTACTAAAAATTGTATTAATTTACTTATTGTTTTAAAATAGTTCACCACAGTATTAGGAGTAGTCCAAAAACGACTTCACTGTCTTAGGTAGAGTGGTGTTTGGATGTCACGATGTGTGCGGAGGAGTCGGTTCAGAAAGAGTCGATGATACATTTAAAAAAAAAACACTTAAATTTAGCCCTCATTTTGCGGTAAAAAAATTGTAAATTGTAATATTTTATATTAAATTATATGTTAATATAATAAGTAGCTATTTAACAAACAAAAACTAAGAGTAATTTTGAGAGGGGTGAGTTAAGCCCAGGCGTGACTTTAATTTTGGGAGGATGGGGTCTGGCATTTTGTGAACATGTGTGATGATGTGGAGGGGGGGGGGGCAAAAAATCATTTTAAAAAGCGTCACGTTGTTTATGGATGATCCTTTACAATGCAGATGAATAACACTAAGGGGTCATCCATAAATGACGTCACGCTTTTTTTGACGATTTTTACCTCCCCCCTCCTCACAAAAAGCCAGACCCCCCCCCCCTAAAATGACGTCACACCTCAACCTACAACCCCCCTCAAAATTGCAGTTGAATTGTTTTTAAACATCGATATTTTTCCAAAATCTTGTCTAAACTATTACAATTTATTAAAACATTTATCTAAAACGCGAAATAACGTCTACAATTCGTTTTCTAACATTGCTTTTTTATAATGCAAAAATGTGACGTCGCAACATCTGAACCCCCCCCCTCCCCCTCATCACACATCGTCACAAAATCACGGACCCCCCCCCCCTCCCCCCTACGAGTGTGATGACCCCTAAATGCCTTATCTGATCAATTAATGTTAAATTGGCTCTAGTTGAACTGTTCGTTAAGTAGACTAAACAAATAACCACGATTAAGCTTGCCGTATTGGCAAAATAATTTCTATTAATAATTTTCACCTACAAGCAACCGTCAGCCACCATCAGACCAAATAACCTAGCCCCTAACCACATTTTATAAGAAACCATTCTTCAATAAATTTAAATGTATCCTAAATTCTAGTTTCAGCGTGAACCAAATGAGGTTGAGAAAGTCTACACATTTATTAGATCAAGATCTAGCCTAGATCTAGATATAAAACTAAATGCAAGAATAGATCTAATAATTTTCAACGTAACTTTGTTTGACTATCGCTTTTTTCTTGTTTGCGTGAACTTATTTAAAAATCGATAGACAAGCTACCGAATTAAAGTCACTTTTATTTACACTTCTTCCATTTTAAACTAAAAACACTTCTTTCCAAATTCAAAATACTTTTTCAAAAATGGTTTGAGATTTTAAAAATTAATCTGGTCATCATTCCAAGCGGTTTGCGTCCATCATGGCGGAGTTATTTGGATTACATTTCTAACTTAATTTACATCAAGTGAAATGAAACAGTTAATTGGAAAATATCAGTTGAATTTATTGTAGAATACTATTTGCTAGATTTATATCTGAGTACATTGTTAAAGTATATACATTTTAACATAAAAAATGTCAGAAAAGCTTGATACGCGTGTTATTCAAGTGACAAACATAGCCCCGAGCTGCACAAACGAGCAGATGAGGACTCTCTTCAGCTATCTTGGACGTGTCAGGGAACTCAAAATGTATCCACCAGAGTAAGTAATCATTTTGAACTATTGAAAATCTTGTTTTAATTTAATAGGCCTACCCATTGCGAGAAGGGCGCAAAAACCGTCTGTGACGTATATTTTTTCTTCGCATTTTTAGATTTTACCACCACCCGATATCTATGGACGTTGGTAGGATGCAAAGCTATCTGCAAAAATTTTACTGCGACCGATTTACAGTGATTTTTTTTTTTTATGCAGACTTCAAAGACGTTTTGTTTACATTCTGATTTTTCCGTCGCTAGACATTCTGATATTCAACATAACCATCTTTTGTGTCGACTTGGTATACCACCTTGTTTGAAACCACCTGAAATACCACAGACGATAGATCAACTTATTTCTTTTGTGTAAAACTCTGAGGCCGCCACAAACAAATATTATATTGTTGCTAATAAATTTTGTTTTATTACGTAGTAGAACGAAAACCTGGTGCAGTGTTTCCTCCAGACTTTTTACTCGGGGGGGGGCACTGGTAAAAGAATATGTGTGTTTTTAACATAATGATATTACACTTACAACTAAAATTAATCAAATCTTTTACTTTTGCACTAGAAATACCGAAGGAGTTGTGGCAAGAGTGGCTTACATTGAATTTGATGACACTACTACAACTGGAGTGGCCTTACATCTTAGTGGCACAGTGTTTATTGATCGTGCTTTAATGGTTGTTCCAGTGATGGATGGTATTATTTTTTCTTTTAAATTGACATTACACTTGACATTCTGTTTTGAGTAATATTAGGCACAAGACATTCTTTGTCCCACCTTCCTTGAGCCGCCAATTTTGTTGATGAAGCCTTACAGATAGTGTCTCCATACATTTTCTCTATAGAAGAATATATATACATAAAACAAGCATGATTAAAAAATAAACATGAAAGTCCCTAAAAGGAAAGCTAGGAAGTTATTTTTAATTAGAACTAACTTGTTAAAAGCTGTGAACTTAATTGCAGAGTGGGAAGTAGGCTTTGTAATTGTGGTAATTATTTTACAGAAAATTTTGACCAAATTCTAATAGGCATATACTATATTTTAAAAATGCTTTTCAGTGAATTTTTTTTTTAAAAGGTAAAATTCCAGATGAGCACACTGCCCTTCAGTTAACACCACAAGCCGTTGCAGGAATGTTGCCTGGGCAACCAACATGGCCAGCAAATGTTGTCAGTCAGGTAGTTATATTTGCTAACCATAATTCTCTTCTCATTTTCATGTGAAAAGTCCTTAATAAAAATTAAAAAAAAAAAACCAATATATACACTCAATGAATATAATTTGAAAATGTGCCTACTTTAAAGGTAACTTAATGCATAATTTTTGTCACTTCTAGGTTACGGGAACTGGAATCAATCAAGTAATCACAACTTACGACCCTAGACTAACATCACTTGGCCTGCCACAGTATCCTCCATTACCAGCATCAACAGATGCAAGCAAAATTGAAGAAATAAGACGTACAATTTATGTTAGTGACCTGGACCCTGCGGTAGTAAATACATTTGCTTTTTCTTTTGAGAGAATGTGGAAAGAAAGTTGCTTCAGCAAACTTTTTGGCAACCATCATGTGGTTTTTAAGCTTCATCTGTTCAGGCTTGTTATTTTCTTTTTCATGAAGTTAAATATTCACTAGTATAAGTGTTTTAGTTGTACATATTGATACTTGGTGCCCACTGCAAATAGCAGGTTTGAATAGTTATGCTTATTTAAAGATTTATAAAATAAACAGAGTTTTCTGTCTATTTAATACCTTTTAATTGAAATGATGAAACAAGCACTTATAATAAATAAAATATGTGAGCAAATTCCAGAATTATAATTCTTTTATTTTAATCATTAGACTATATAAGTCTAAATTTTCAAGTTACAGTTGACTTAGGAGTCTTATTTATATAATTCCAGGTCACAGCAGAAATGTTGCTGAATTTTTTTTCTAGTGTTGGAGAAATCAAATACATTAGATTGGCCGGAGATGAACGAGCGGCTGCAAGGGGTGCATACATTGAGTTCACTGACCAGCGGTCTGTTGCCCAAGCCCTGACTTACAATAATGTAGCCTTTCAGGGACGGACTATGAGGTAGCCTTTTAAAATTTTATATTATTCAAACCCGTATTATGTCCAGATACTTTACTAATTTTCATACATTGTCATATGTTTTCACTTCTAGCAAATTTTGTTGTGTTATTGTTTTAAATTTATATTTTTCTAGTGTTGTACATTCTAAGGCCAACATTGTGAAGCCTTTAGGAGGAAGGATAACGGAGGCATCTCAAAGAGAAATAGATGAAGCCATGAAGAAAGTTAAAGAAGCTTCAAAGCTAATTTCAGCTGCAGCTAGTGAGTCAAGTAAGCCTAACTTGAAATTAGAATACTAGTACATAATTACATTAGAATAAATTGACCTGTAGATGTATTAAAATGTTTAAATTGTAATTGTTTTTCAATTCAGGTTATTTAAATTGAGCTAAAGCTGTATTTACCTGCTATTTAGGGAAAGATTCTTCAAGGTCTCCAAGCCGCAAACGGTCTAGGTCAAAATCCAAAGTGCGTAGCAGGTCACCATCACGTCGATCACGGTCACGCTCCAAGGGACGCAGGCGTCGGACAAGATCTCGTTCTCGTAGAAGATCAAGATCCCGTCACAGGTCACCAAGAAGATCAAGATCACCTGTGAGACGTCGTCGTTCGCGCTCCAGGTAAGACAAATAGATATTTATCATGTGTGGCTTTTATCTCTATAGAATTGAAACAGATTTTGACATGTAATGAATTAAAAAAACAACCCATCACTAAAATGTTTTTTTTTAAAATAAAAAGTAAAGATAATTAAATGGGAAAATGGATTATAAAATTTCATATTAAATGTGTATGGGCATGTTCTTGATTACTGTTATTTGATGCAGGGGAAGAATCGTTCCCTCTGCTCCTCCTTTGTGAGTATAATAAAATGCTTGTTATTTTTTGTTTCACCACATTATACATTTAGTTAATATTACATTTTTATCTTCTTTTATTTAAAAAAAATTGTTTTGATTCAAGCACAAAATAAGGACATTACCATTTTTGAAATTGAAATTTAGATTCTATTAATAAAAACAGCTGGTGTTTGTTCCAAGTTTTTTTTTTTTTTTTTTTTGTTTAAAAAGATAATAAATAGTCCTTGTTTTGTTAGTCAATGTGCAGGTTTCCTCTTTGGCTTTTACTGTGATAATAGTGATATGGGTGTACATTGCCTGAAACATACAAATTTTTTAAAGTAATACTATCAATTGTATTCTAACAATTCTGATAGTTTTTTTTGCATCGTTTTGATAAATTATATCAGAGACAACCTGTTTTCTAAATTATTAATAACTATGACTAATTCAATCCATAATTATCTGTTTTTGTTTTGACGATACTTTAAAAAAAAAAATTAAAATATGTGTATCCCATTTTAAAAAAAATATTTTTGCTTAAAACTAATAATTACTGATAAAAGTTATTGCATGCAATTTTTTGAAAAACTTCACAATGCTTAAGAATTATTATCATTGGCAGGTTTTAAATGCATCATCTTTTAAATTAACCTTCCTCTTCTTATGTGTATCTTTAAGTGTGCATCTGAATACAAAATTATTTTTTTCATTTATGTGTATGAAGTAAAATTTAAAATGGATTTACATTTTTAAATGCAGAAAGTATATTTATTGTATTCATCTTTTCAACAAATGAGAGAATATAAAAATCAAACTGTGTTGGTAATGAGGCTGTGCTTTGATTAATAACCAACCAGGCTGGTAAAGTGGGTAGCATACCTTACTGATAAGAATACTGCAACACTAAAGTACAATGCAATGATGAAAAAAACAATTTTACAGCTTTTTTTGCTTGGAATTATTATTTTTGCTTGTAACATGCCTGCTACAATATATATCTTCTAGCCCTTTTTAATTGTGTTGGCATGCTTAAGCACTCTTATTAAAAAAAATGCAATTTATTATTTTTCATACAAGTAATTATCAATATAAACATAACCATAATGCTTGAAGAGTGCTTAAATGTGCCATTTAATATATATTTTATATTTAATTTGTTGCTTTTTATGGCTTAAGTCTACTTTAAATTAAAACAATAAATAAAACATTTAATTTTAGATTTCTTCAAACACTTTTTAATTATTTAAAATTTGTGTCAGGCGCAGGTCGAGGTCAAGAGACAGAAGACGATCTAGGACGAGATCCCCAGTGAGACGCAGGCGATCTCGCACACGATCAAAATCAAGGTATTTTAAGTATTTTGTTTGTCAATTTTGAATATTGCAGTATTAAGCTTTCTATCTGGCAATAGCCATGTTGGTCTACATTTATCATTCAGGTCTGCTATGGTTGAATATTTGCCAATATATATTTTTTTAGGCGACGTTCTCGCACACCTCCAAGATCATACAGCAAGCGCTCACGATCGAGGTGAATAAATTGTTTTTTTATTAAGCTTGTACCTTTGGTATTTTTTATTACGATTTCAGTCATCAGAAGTTTAGTCTGTTAGAGCCTTGTCTGTAGCATATGAATTACCCAATGCATTTTTTCAAGGAGCAGAAGAAAATCAATATCTCCAGTTCGAAGAAGGAGTAGATCTAGAGATCGTAAGGAGAAGGCAAAAGAAAAGAAAAAGAGTCCTTCCCTCTCCCCGCCTCTGTTGGAAAGAAGTGGATCTGTTCCCCCTAAGAATGTGGAAACTGTCAAAGATGATTCTCCTGTAAAGGTTGAGAGCAGGTAAAACAAATACTCATTTTTTCTACAGTGGTTCTTACTTTTTATTAAATGCGTGATAGAGACCTGTAATATTTTGGTTGTGATAGTGAAAAGTTTGGGACTAGATAGATACATTAAAGATATTTAATTAAGAGTGGGTATTGCACCACGATAGAAAAGGGATGGATGTGGTGATAATTTTGCTTTACATTAGTTGCCTTTTCTAATGCTGAGTTCTTAGAGATCTATTAGTCAAAGTTCACTTGTATATTGTTATCCCTACTTTCCTGAGTTCTATCCACTGAAGTGGTATTCATCATTTGATCAGGAGAAGGGCAGATAGAAAAAATTATTAATTCACCAATGAAATATTTACACACTAAAAATAGAGCTCATTGAATTTTTTTAATAAACAATTTATTTGTTTGTTAACACCCTAAGATTCTTAAAAAATAATCATTCTTATGACCAAACTTACGAATTACATATTGAACTTGAATATCTATACAAGATCCATATTAACATTAAATTTTTGATTGATTGTCTTTACTGGAGCTCTCTAATGAAGGTGTATTTTTTGTTGTCATAATCAACTTTGTTCATGAGCTTGAATTATCTTTTCTAATTGTAATATGTAGTTCATTATCAAAAAATACTACATTCATTTTTAACACATTGTTGAATTGTGTTAAACTGTTTAAATTACAAATGTTTCTAGCAGTTTTTAGTGTATTTTTATAAGAAAGTTGATACTCCACCGAGAATAATCACATTTTGAGCTTTCTAAATCAAGTTTCAAACAAAAAAGCCATGTTGTCTCTCTATTTATTGTATCTATGACTCTAATCTGGACCTTATAAAAAACCGAGCATGTCATCCTTTTTATTTTAGTCCTCCGCCAGTGCTGCCAACAGAAAGTGCACCGAGGTAAAAACTTTAGTTTGTCCCTTGTCTCTTAGCACCTGTTCATCAGGTGTTTGCATACAGTATTCTGATGAACTGCTTCTTCTGCAGTCACATTATCATTTATGTCCATACTTCTTTTTAATCTTTTCTCTTATTCAGATGATCATCCTCCTCTAAATATTTCACCCATTAATATATATTAATTTTTTAATCTATATTTTTTATTTTATTTTTTCTATTTTTCTCTTTCTCCTTACTAATTTCTTTTTAAATAAACCATGAAAATTCTGAATAATGAAAATTTCTTCATTGACACCTACACCAAAATGTTAATTAGCAGAAATATTTTTCTCTTTAATCTGCATTGGTCTTGGTGCTTATAAATTAAGATTTAAATTTGTTCTTTATATCAGCTACTAATTAGAATCAATTATTTTTGCAGTGGAAATATACTAAAGCAAATTTATATTTAAAAAATGACTGTCTTTCTTGTTATAAACTTGATTGTTAAAATGGTTTTATAAATAAAAAATATTATATCATGTTAACTTATGCGCTCCATATTTTTACCATTATAATATCCTATCAATGTTAGTTAACTGCTACTTCTGAGTATATTGTTGTTAGTATCATTAGTATCTCAAATAAATAACTGAAATATCTGTGTGTTTCTCTCACTTGCACAGTGCTAATGCTGAAGGAGATAGTGGCAAAACTGTCACAAAAAAGAGGTAACTCTATCTTAAAGCCACTTGTCCACCTCATCTATATATAACATCTTTTTAGAAATATTTACTGTGATTTTTTTTTTATGTCTTTATTTTAGTATTGCAATAATTTTTCAGTGATCTGAAGCTTAACTCCACAGTTGTAAAGTCTTATTTAGTTACCATCATGATTTATTTAATTTTCCACCTATTACTATGTTTTACAGAATATATTTTTATTGTATTTTTTCATTTTGTATTTCTGGTTATGCTTTTTTTTTATCTTTTATTGATACATTTTGTATTTGCCTATTATTAAATTTGCAACCTGCATAAGGTTTTCCTTAAACAAAGTTAGTGTTGAATTGAAAAGTTTAAGATATTTATGTTTGGTTCACAGGTCTCCTACACCAATTAAGCCACGTCGTTCCAGCCCTGCTCCTCGTAAACGAAGCAGATCAAAGTCACCAAGGTAATTAAAATCTTTTTCCACTTGGTAAGAATTAATTGTAACAAATGCATGAATTTCTGTGTATAACATTGATTAGACAGCTTAACTCAACCTGAAAACTTGTTATTATAGTAGTCGTCGCAAGCGGAGACGTAGAACAAGGTCACCAACTCCCCGTAAACGTTCCAGAACTCGAAGTGGCTCTAGAAATAGGTCAGTTTTGCTTTGTTTTTAGCCTTTTATTTAAGAATAGTGTTGATGTACATTGCAAATGAAACCTAAGTAAGGTCATAAAATCTTAATTTCTAATTTGTAGTACTTGACCAACACATTTTGAAAAGCAGTTGGGCATCACTTAAACTTTTTTTTTGTTTCAAATTCTTATGTTCGGTATCGTTACACTTAATGATACAGGAGTACTCTTTTTAAAGCATTCTAGTAAATTATGATAGCATTAGTGTGATTTGAATAAATAAGAGATGGAACTATTTAGGAAATTTATTTTAAGTGAATATTTTTAAAAATTCTTGTGCCTGCCCAAAAAAAAAGTTTGATCCTGAAAATTGTTAATTGAGTTGTCTGATTTTATCTAAACTATTATAGGTCAAAACGTGAACGCAGCAAGAGAAGTCGCAGTAGAGAAAGGAGACATGAATCAAAGAAGAAGAGCACCAGAGAAAAGGAAGAGAAAAAGAAAGATACTACATCAACAGCAAAGGTTGCTTTTTTTTTTTTTACTGCATCTGTAAAATTCAGTAATGTTTTGATGTTTAGTTAGATTTAAAGCTTTCCCCTAAATTCTAATTATGATGGCTTTTTGTTTTCTTTAACCAGATAAAAAGAGACTATGATGAAGAGGAGAAAGGTTTTGCCAGTGGAAGTGAGAAAGAGAGGGGAGTTACTGAAGAACGCTCCCTTTCACCCCCAACATTGGAAGCTGGAGATAAAGATTCTGATCACCAGCCTGTTGATATGGACATGAGTGATTGAAGCTGTCTGGCTTATTATACCAACATTGGACTTGATATTTGAAAAAATGACTTGATAGGACTAAACTGACATTAGGCTGAATATTTAAAGGGAAGTAATTTAAAATGACTAATTTATTAGACTACCATTTTTAAAATCCTTGTAGAGTTAATTTGCTTTGAAGCTGACAGAATTACTTCTAGCCTAATACCCTATTCAATAACCTATATTCAAAATCTAGTGGTCTTATTTGATATGACTGGAATTATTGCAGTGACATTAGACTGTTGGGGGAGATGATGTAACATGACTTTATTTGAGTACACTGATTCATGGCTTGCACTAGAACTTGTGTTTAGGGATATTATGTTGTTGGAGTTTTTCTTAGCTATTTTTAAATATGAATTCAGAAATAACAAGGTTAAATGTTTGATAAAATAGTTTAACATATTTGCTCTTATCTTACGTATGAGAAATTGTATTGTTAATTTTGCTTGTAAATAACTTGATTGAATAATAAGTGTATGTGTTCATGAATTAAACTATTTTTTAATTCTTTCCATTTTTTTTTTGCATTAAATTAACGAACCTGGCCCCTGTAATACTGTTATCTTGTCAGTGCTACTTGGTAAAGTGACACAGCATTTCTCATGAACTTTTTTTCCAAAAAACATTTTTAATCAGTTCTGTGAAAAAGGCACTGTTGTATTTGTATAATTAAAAATAAATTTTTCCTTGTTCCATTTCTTTGCTGTGGAGTTCTGTCTTCAATAGCCCGTAATTGTACCATTCTAGATTTGTTGACAGTAGGCTTTTTTATTTATTTTTATTTTTTTGGAAATATTTCTGTGGAATTTAGGCATAGTTGTAAGTCACTTAAAAGTAACTCCCTCTGGGTGATCTCTTGATTGTTTGCTTGCTCAGTTATTAATTTTAATTTGTTGGAAACAAATTTGTATAATCTCTACCTGAAGTTGGAAACTCAAAAATGTCTAGAAAGGGTATAAAATGAATGTGCATTCTGTCAAAAGACCAGTGGTTTATCCTTTACACCCTGCTGGCAGATTCTGTATGTGACTGCACTTTCCCCCATAGTTTCTTCAACTTTCAAGTTATTTATTCTTATAATGTTCACAACGATGCTCCTATAGATGAGTTAATAAAGCATAAACCCACAAGTTCTAGAAAGAGTATTAATAATCTTCTGCTCATATTTTGTGACATTGCTGCATAGTGATTTTAAAATATTCTGTATAGCTGGGTCACTTAACGTTGTTACATAATCTAGTCACTAGCAAAAGTATACACTTCTTTTGGTACTAGTAGTAGCCCAAGTAAAGAGAGCACTGGGTAAGGGTCACGGAAAATTAAAATGCATTTGATCTAGTATAAAAACGGAGAATTTTTTTTAGGAGGGGGGGGGGGGGGTTACCAAGAAGCAGCCCGTATTGTACAAGGTATCAGTTCAGAAATAAAGTAACTTGACCGCTGATTGGGTAAAAAAGTAAAGTTCCCTTTTCAAACCCGACGGTCTATAGGGCAAGTGAAGTAGAGTTCACTTGTGTCTTTGACCTCGGCATATGAAGAGATTTGGTAGCAATTGGATAATTTGCACGGTCAACCCATGAGTTGTGAATATCTGCATTGAGAAAAAAAAAGGGAATCTAGACGGCATGTTCGAATTAGGCAACAGGTTAATCTCAGACGGGAAACGAGGGTTCAGACCAAATACATGCAGGCAATAACATCCTCGGATTCTGGATGCCTCTACCACGGGCCCCATCAGCGTTTGTCAAGGCACGTTAGGAGTTTCTTAAGTGCTGAAAGTCTATAGCTTCCAGTTGTTCACCCACTCAGTGGCGTAGCCAGGAATTGGTCAAGGGAGGGGTTCAAATATTTTTCCATATGTATAAAATCACACATATATATATAGGGGTGTGAGTCCATGGAAGGGGTTATACCCCCCTTGCCTACGCAACTGCACCCACTCCCTACAATGGCTGTTAAGACGAGACCACTGGTTCCAGTACAAGCCCAGCACACGTTTACCCATCGCGTCAATCCTGGCTGACGTAACCACTTCCTCCTTCAGTACTTAAAGCTTCCCCATCTCAGCTTGCTGGGTCATCCTTATATTAATTTGTAAAGTCCACAAAAAAATATATAAATAAAACCCCACATCCGCACCTGTCAAACCGCGTCCAATTCGCAGGTTAAGGAAAAATGAAAAGAATAAGCAGTGGCGTAATAGGGTGAAATAAAGCTTGGATAGGGGAAAACAAGTAATTTAAAAAAGTCTAGTGACAATTTTAGCGCAATTTCCTTACGTTATCTAAAAATAGCTCTGTCGTAGCGTAAATCAACAGCAGGGTTAGTAAAACCATTGGTTAGTTATTAAAACGTTTTTTATTATTTTTTTTTCAGTATTTTACATGTTTTATTTACAATAGAGTAACATGACTAAAAACCATTGCGCGCCTAGCTACCGAGCGTGATGTCGCAGATATTGAACGTGATGGCGCAGCTATAAAACGTGATGACGCGTGTGGTGCAGAGTTTCTTCCAGGCATCTCTTCGGGGGGGCGAAGCCCCCCCCCCCCCCCGAAAATTTTTTACCGCCCCCCCCCCCCCCCGAACGAAATGAAATGTATATAATTTATATAGAAAATATATACTTTTAACAGTGTCCGCCCCCCCGAAGATAGTTTACCGCCCCCCCCGAAGATTTCAAGTGCCCCCCCCCCCCGGAGAAAAAAGTCTGGAAGAAACACTGGTGTGGTGCGGTTGCATAAAATGCCTACTAATTCGGTCCAAATTTTAATTAATTAAAAAAAAAATTTGTGACCTAAAGAAAGGATATTTTTGAAAACTTTCTTCGGCAATATTGTTCTAAATTATAGCAGGAATCGATTGGTACATGTTTCAAGTCGCTAAGTGGTCTGGTTGCCGAGATATGGGCCAAAAACTGCATTTTTCCGAGGTTGTTTGGCTTTTCCGGGAAATCCATGAAAGAAACCCGGAATTTTTATGGCCTATGTTCATCCTCGTAACTTGCTTAACATAATTGTTTTTGTAACTAGTCATCGATATTGCTTCGTTGAGGAGGAGATACGACTTAAAGCTGCGGACACACATCCATACATTCATCCATCCATTCCCAGAAATGACGAGTTAATAAACGCAATTCTCCAGAATGGAAATTGCGCTAAAAACGACGTCACAATCTGGGGATGGGGGGGGGGGGGGGGGGGGGGAGAGAAGGGTGTGTTCGAGTTTTGTTAAGAGGAGGGAGGGGGTCAAAAAGTGTGACGACACACTTTTGCAATTTAAAAAGTCCGTTTTTTGTAAATTGTAATAGGGAATGATTAACGATCATTATATTAATAATGATTCGCAGAGTTCAGAAATGTGTTTATAAAGAAATAGATGTTTTAAAAAGCCTGTAACTCTTTTTGGGGGGGGGGGGGGTGGTAGGCTAAGGTGTGACCTTCATATTTAAGAGCGGTGTGAAGTGGGGGTCTGGCTTTTAGTGACGATTTGATTTATGACGATGGGAAAGGAGTGGTAAAAAGCATCACTTATAGGTGACCCCCATAATACCAAGTTCGGCAACTTTCAGTTACAGCACTTGGTAAGAGGTATAAACTTCAAAAAGAAAGTTTGTCCCGTTTTCTTCCACGTGAGACTTTTAAAACGTGTCTAGATTTTATATTCGTACAAACCAATTTTTAAAATCTGACCTAATTGTAATCATAATCGTGTTTTTCTTTTTTTAATTATGCTCAGATAATAAATTAAAAATATAAGGGGAAAAAAAGAAACAAAATTAATATTTTATTATTTATTTTTTTTGCAATTAAAAAAAAAATATTTTTGAATAATTTTTAAATGATAGTAAAAGTAAAGTTTCACTGGAAGCTTTGGTAAATAAATTACAAGTTTTAACATACAAGTCTCCAAAAATCCAAAAATTGTTGAAAATTATGATAATTTCTCGTTTGCTATCAAAGACTGCCTCAACGTTTTAATAACAGCAATGAGAAAAGAATTTCAAAGTTGTAGTCCCAAATATGTAAGCCTTTAAGCTATCGAATGTAATGTTTAAAAATTCAACTGCATGGTATTTTGCTTAAAATTACATTCAGTGTTTCTTCCAGGCATCTCTTCGGAACCCCCCCCCCCCCCGAAGTAAGTCTATCGCCCCCTTCCCCCCCCCCCCAAAAAAAAACGGAATGGAATTTATATTGAAACTATATGCTTTTACCAGTGTCCGCCCCCCCCCTACTAAAAATGATCCCCCCACCCCCCCCCCCCCCCCAGAAAAAAAAGTCTGGAAGAAACACTGATTACATTAGTCATTCGTCATACGTCTGACGGTGAATTACGGAACGAAGCATTATTTTGTTATGATTTAAAGAAATGACCATTGGAATTAACAATCTCGCTTTCAACAAACCTGTGCTGTTTAAATTTTGAACTGTTAAATTAGCCACGTGGCAATGTGGCAAGCTAGAAAAAAAAATTAAAATTACTTACAGCTTTGTCCCTTATCTTATCTTTTCTTTCTTTCTTTCTTTTTTTATATAAATCACGTCTTGTGCACGTGGACTAATTATATAACCGAAACTTCAAATGTATTTTAAAATCTAAACAAAAAAAAAACTATAGATTTTCTGTCTTCATATCCCAACATCCACAATTGTTTCTAATGGGTACTTTTAAAAAAAACCAAAAACGTATATATTAGTATTTAAAGTGAATAAAGTCGATTTAGACTTTCTTTTTCTTTTAAAATTTAAAACCATCTATTCAAATATAGGCCTTCCCAAATTAAAAGGTTTTTCCTTTTTCTACATAAAAAAATTTAAAATTTCCGAATTACAAAAAAAAAAAAAAAAAAAAAAAAAAAAAAAAAAAAAAAAATAACATTAATTTTTTTTTCTTGAGCAAAAAAAAAAGTGAAGTAAATTCGAAAACATGACACACTAAAGAAAATTAAACATATTTGCACTAATAAAATAAGTTAAAGATTTAAAAAAAAAAGTTGTATAGGTACCAATATCTTTGGAAACGAACCAATTACCGACACGTTACGTTTCAATAGATAAGACAGTTAAGACTTAAGATCGTGACACGAAATCAAAATAAAATTTTTGTTTTAATTTGTAGAGGCGTATTGTGTCGTTATTAAGCAATATATATATATATATATATATATATATATATATATATATATATATATATATATATATATATATATATATATATATATATATAAACATATATATATATACTAGCTGCATCCCGTGCTCCGCCACGGTAAATCTTTTTAAAATATACCAACTTTGGAGCAGAACAAAACAAACAAAAACACAACACAAAAACAAACAAAACACAACCACAACCACATCACAACCACATTACAACCACAACACAATCACAACACAACCACAACACAACCACAACCACAACACAACCAAAAAAACAACCACAACACAACCACAACACAGTGAATGACTATAAAACAGAGGCGTAGCGACCCTTTCCGGCGCCCGGGGACAAACTTTCGATTTGACCCCCCCCCCCTCAAACTTACGATTTGCACCCCCTCTCCTCAAAATTTCAATTTCCACCCCACCCCCTTAAACTTTCGATTTGCAACCCCCCCCCCCCCCCCCCGTTCAGACTTTCGATTTGCACCACTTTTGATTTGAAAATCTCCCCCCCCCCCCCGCTCAAACTTTCGATT